GAGGGATGATTTCAATATAATCCTCCTGACCTAACCCATGGGAAGATCTGCACCAGAAATACTCTGTTCTGCTCTCTTTCCTCAGGTATATTACTGAAACTACACTTCGGAAAGGTCACATCATCAAGTTCATCGTAATAATGTTCCAAATTTGGAACATCCCAAATTCCCGTTCACAATGACGCTATACTGACAGATGCTAGCAGCATTCCTGCTGCTGGATGGCTTAACATTATTGGTGGGCTGCTTAACGGGCCATAGCTTTTGAAAATCTGATCATAAATGAGATAAATCACCAATATGACAAGGAATCAATTTTCTTGTTGCTAAAATGAATTGCAGAAGAAAACGCTTATATATATACAGCAAATTGCAGCAGCACATAATGTACCATCATGAACAAGGCAAACAATCATAACGCATAAAACGATTCAGAATGCAGACAACATCTGACATGGTTTTCAAGCAACTCTCATTGAAAACCAATGACTTTCAGTTGCTTTTCTGCCCCAAAAATTCTGTCAGTGTGAACAGGGCTTAAAGGAACACTCCATTATTTTTGAAAATAGGCTCATTTTCCAACTCCCCTAGAGTTAAACAGTTTAGTTTTACCGTTTTCGAATCCATTCAGCCGATCTCCGGGTCTGGCGGTAGCACTTTTAGCTGTAGCTTAGCATAGATCAATGAATCTGATTAGATCGTTAGCATCTCGCTCAAAAATGACCGAAGAGTTTCTATATTTTTCCTATTTAAAACTTGACTCTTCTGTAGAAACACTGCATGTAAAATGCATAGGACAAAAATGAAGGACTAGGGGTGTGCGATATTGACAAAAAATTATATCTCGACATTTTATGAGATTTTATCGATAACGATAATTAGACGATATTTTGCCGAGTGTGTTATTGTGCTGGTACCTTAAGGACTGCCGAAGACAGGTGACTCCTAATGTTTTTAATATTCTTCATATTCTGTGTGGTGATCAGTTCATACTGATAGAAATTAATCTTTTCCAATAAGTTTAAACTGATTTTTGCATTTTATGGGCATTTTTACCTTTATGTATTTTTTCTAAAAGTGTCCATTATCTTTTGAGTCAACTTCTTACATTTAATCAGGGAATTCGAATAAGAAGACATTTGGGCTGTTACCAAGCAAATTAAATCAACACAGAAGCTGCATCTGAAGTGGCATTTAGATGCATTTACACACATGTATTTTGTTTAATACAAGACATGAATGCATTTAACCTGCAATTACAAATGCATAAATAATGTTTTGATATATTAAACATAAAACGTTGAATACTGATATTTGAAATGATTTAAAACATGAAAAAAAAAAAGAAAAGAAAGAAAGAAAAAGCCGAAATTTGTCATTAAAACCGCCAGCAGGTGGCAGCAAATCGCTAAAAAAAATTGTGTTCAGAACCCTATCACACTTACGAGTTTACAGAGCAAAAAGGACCCGGCCTCATAAAATTGCTTATAAATCACTCATTATGCTATATTATCACCAAAGATTGGATTCAATCTTTTTGTCAACTTCTTTTCTTTCCATTTCATGGTTCAACAATATTTATATGCTCTGTCTTTTTGCTAAAGCATTTATTAGTAAACTTTTGTCTGCTTTGTGAGAACATGAAAGCCTCAATACCTATTGTCATAATATTTTGTCTAGAAGGTGTGATGAAAGAAAGAAGATGAAAGAAAGATTATTTTGAAGCAGGGTGAAGCCAGTTCTCGTGTGTGTGTGTGTGTGTGTGTGTGTGTGTGTGTGCAATTACGATATTATCGCAGACGATATATATCGCACACCCCTATGAAGGACGTGTTTGTTGCCAAGCTAACATCAATAGTGGAACGATAAGTCATAAAAACTGTTATAGTAACCCAGTTATAACAGAAGATTAAGCACATGGATCATTTGTTCCACCACACACACACAAACACGTTTTCAGCAGGCCGGTAGAGGAAAACAGTCAAGCAGAGTCTCATTAAGCACAACAAGATTACAGAAATTGATTTTTCTTCCTCTTAGATTCCTGTTGGCTATTGTGTCTTACCGAGCTTTTCAAATAGCACACATCTTTAGTCAAAGCTCATGCAGTTCAAGATCATTTTCCTAAAGTTAACTCATCAAACTGCTATTTCATTGGGTTATAGGTAAAGATAAATGCTCTCACAGTATACAGAACAACATAAATATATAAACTCTATGGAAGAGCTAACCAATTCATGGCTTATAGGTGCATTTATGAGATTATAGTTGGATGATATTATACTTTACATTTTGTGATGATACAAGCAATAAAGCCGTTGAGAAATGCTATAAATATCGCCATATGCGAGTATAATGTATTTATGCAAATAAAGTTAAACATACTTGTATATCAAACTTTACGTAAAGAGCTTAGCAATAGTAGTTACATTTTGCAAAAAAAGTCAAGAAGTTGAGTGTTGCTATATAGTATATATGGCTTTACTTGAGTGTAATGTATATATACACTGTAAGGATAATGTTGGATATAATACATATCCCAGTGCAATAATGCAGTTTACATGGCTTTATTAATTAGACGATGCCAATATATTGCCATTATTTTTACCATAACTGCATCAATTAGTAATCAAAACAGAGCAATTGGCAAACTCAAATACAGATGTTGTTGTCTTGGAGAGCAAAAGCAAAACCTAAACCTGATTAGCTGGTCCAGCCAATCAGCAACCTATAAGAACAGGGGGGCGGCTCTTCTTTGGAAAAGCAGACAGAAACAGTCATTCACCTGTTCCCAAACCAGTCATTCAGCCTCATGTCAACTGCTCCGAGTTCCTACTGAAGAGTGAACACACACTCTTACGTATCAGCCCAATCCAGTGGACTCTCATCCTAACAGCTATATTTCTAATATTTTATTAAGTTTCACTCTCATATCATTAATAATGCCATGTTTACATTCAATGCATTCCGTATTCCAATCTATCTCTAAGCCGATCTCTAACTACAGCCAAGAAGAAAAAGATTTTGAAAAATGTCAGCATTATATTCATCCTTGCTGATAGCACTGTGTTTAAGGTCTCTGAAAGCTCTCTGGGGGTAGAGAGACAAGCAGACTGTCACGCATTCAAGGCTGAAACGCCACTGGAACGCACTGAAATGATTAAGTTTCGTGTTTTATCACAGTCTGATGGTACTTGCTGTTTCTCCTTGAAACTCAGGGGCACTCCGACTGCAAAAGCATGCAATGAGTTCTTAAAACATTCATCTACATAAAACAACTCCTGACGTAACACCACCCACACTTTTAACAAACGGATGCAAAAAAAAAAAAAACGGCCATATTGTTGCCTCGTGGGTGCATGCAAATGCACACACATACTGGCATTCACCTATAACTTTAGTCTATTAAAATGCAAGCCATAATTGGCCAAATGCAGACACAATGTACACTCACAGTACAAAAGCCTTGTTTCTTACCAGCCTCTAAGAAAAAATTCCACTCAGTTCACTAAAACTTAAATACTTCATTAACACAATGTTCAATAATTCCTATTTCATATGCAGAAACCTCCAGATAGAGTCAGCGGCTGTGAACACTGTTAAGTCCCATTATGAATAGAATCCTTACTGAAATACCACTCACAAGCGTGTGAACTCCTCTGATTACTTTAGGTTCCAGTACAAACCCCACAGACTCACACTCTCAGCTGACAAAAGACATAGTTTATGTTTAAGTCAACTAGAACCTTTCAATTACAAGGTTTGCAAACAGCAGTGATGCGTTACTGACGATGATGCTCAAACTGTGAGGGCAGAGGACTGGTGACGTGTCCACAGGACAAACTGAACATCAGAAACATGCGTTAGATGTGTCCTCGGCTGTTCTATGCTGCATTGAGGCAGCCATAGGGGTTTGCAGATGTATTGCTTTGAGACACAAGACAAATGGTCAGCGGCTCCCTTGGAGACAGGATTCATTAGCTGCCCTGATTTAACATGTAAATTAAACTCTTGATAAGTTTCCAGTATAAACAATGCTGATGATAGATAGATCACATATGATAGCCGCTCATTCTCCACACTGTGCCGTCAGGTAAAGCGCGCGCGCTGAGAAAAAGCGCTCACGCACGCGACTCAGAGAGCAAGTTGCGCTCTCTAGTTAACGCTCTCGCGGCACAGCCGCGTGCCTGCAACGGGCTCTATTTGCTTTAGACTTTTAACAGTCCCATGCACGCTGTTTGTAGCGTTTCATCTCTGGCCAGCCATACAGAGTGTTTCCAAAACAGCGCGTTTGCGGAGAAACGTGCGTAAAATAATGAATATCATGCGAACTGCGTCAGCTCCACTTTCTATCATAAATCACGTCTTAAGCCTTGTATGATGAAACAAACTGAACAACATAATCTAAACGCGTTAAGTCACATAGCTCAGTACACGCTGAAAATCGTGTCATTTACTCAACCTCATGTTGTACCGAACATGTATGACTTTCTTCCATAGAACACAAGATATGATGTTAGGCACAATATTAGTGACTGACAGCCTCAGTCGCCATACAATGAAAGTTCCCGATGACGGAGGCTGTCATTATACCCAACATCTGCCAACCAGAAAGTAAAAGCGGTTTGGAACAACATTAGGGTTGAGCAAACGATGACAGAATTATCATTTTTGGGTGAACTATCCCTTTAAGAGTCGTATGAGCGTGTGTGCTTTTCATAAAGAACTACGCATTTTAAATTTGCAGTTTAAAACAGTCTCCATATGCTATTCTGTTTTAAACGTAACAGCTCCAGAGAGTAAAATCTCACACAATTCTGTAACGCACGGGTGCGGATGCTGCATTGCCCTCATCACAGTACGCCCTTATACTACATAGCAGGTAACACGCCTCGCTTACCTGCTCAAATAACCTTTCCCATGCGCTATTCAGTTAAATAACAACTTCAATATGTAAAACGCCAATCCCGTTATTCGGTTGTCCCGTGTCAAGCGCTTACCTGTTCTCGCTGCGGATTTCACCTCACCGCCGCAGTCGCGCTCACACTGCGGATGATGGGCACCTTCACAGGAATCCCAACTCACTCCACAAATACAGCCAGACGCCGTTTTAAAACACTTGGTTTGGTGGGTCTCGAGTATCACCGACACTTAATTTTATCGAAAAGATCCTCCGAGTTTAATCTCCTCAGGAAGAAACAACAGACAAGCTGCAGAATCCCATCAACGACTAAACCGAAGTGCTGGTGACCGTTAAAACTGCCGCTCGCTCTATAGTTTCCATCATGACGTGCTGTTTGACAGAATTTAAAGCGCGTTAAAACGGCAACTGGAATTCCGCGTGCAGCAGTTGAGGGACCGAACGCGCCGTGCGAATGCTCGCTGCAGTCAGAGCGGCTGTTTCGGAGTTTGCTGGTTCGCAGCTGACTCCCAAGTAACCAGAGGAGAGGCGTGAGTCAGTGGCTTTCTGCTGAGACGCGGCGACTGTCTTGTTTTACAAACCCTCCTGACTCGCCCGCAGTGACATCCCGAATCTGGCCGCTGATTGGGCTAATTGTAAAATCTCATTGGCTGCAATCAGCGCGCGCGGCATGAATGAGGCATATGCTGCACCCCAATGTCTTTTAATGTGTCTAGTATAATGCATGCATTACACCGTGGAACGGATTTGGGGGAAACATGGGTGAACACGGGTATTATAATACTGCGGACAGAATGATTTACGGATTTGAATATCTAATCGACAAGATGATTTGGAGATTAGGATGTAAACATGTAATACAAACATTATGTAAGGAGATTAGCTTTACACTCATTTATTTACGCTCATTATTGTATTCATCAGCGATTAATCAAAAGAAATAGATTCGTAAATAAATCAATCCAAGTGAGGACGTTAATTATACAAAAAATTATACAAAAGGAACTCTTGAAGTTACAATAAAAATTCTACAAATGTTTCATAGAATTACATTGCAGACTTAAAATATAGTCCAGCAGCTTTTTTATGACTTTTGACTGATTCTTGCATAACTTTCATTAACAATAATCTGACAATCTTTCCCACCTTGCTGTATATAAAAAGTAGGCTACTGGTTGGCATCATGGTATGCTTGATCCACTGCAATATTCCTGAACGCAAAGGTCTCAAAACACTGCCTCACAGCTCCACCTGCAGGCCCATACAGTACTGCATCCATATTCCATCTGCTAGCCTGCCACAGGCAGACCCTCATGCAATCCACAATCCTGGTTCTGAAGGACTCCAAACGCTATACATTTTGGCCATTCATTCCTAAAGACAATAATCTTCTGTAATTGTCTTGTGTTCATTCCTGTAGACAGCAGTCGCCTCAGATCTTGATGAATCTGAATTTAGTTTGTTTGTACAATGCTGAAATGTGACCCTGGACCACAAAACCGGTCATAAGGGTCAATTTGTTGAAATTGAGATTTATACATCATCTGAAAGCTGAATACATAAGCTTTTCACTGATGTATGGTTTGTTAGGACAATATTTGGCCGAGATACAACTATTTGAAAATCTGGAATCTGAGGGTGCAAAAAAAATCTAAATACTGAGTAAATCACCTTTAAATTTGTCCAAATGAAGTTCTTAGCAATGCATATTACTAATTAAAAATTAAGTTTTGATATATTTACGGTAGGAAATTTACAAAATATCTTAATGGAACATGATCTTTGCTTAATATCCTAATGATTTTTAGCATTAAAAAAAAATCGATAATTTTGACTCATGCAATGTTGTTGTTTTTTTGGCTATTGCTAAAAATATACCCAAGCGACTTAAGACTGGTTTTGTGGTCCAGGGTCACAAATGCAGGTCAGGCTTGTGTTCTTCTTTAATGTAAAATCTTCACCCCAGTTGTTTTTTAAACATTTAAATAGTTTTTCAAATTGTTTGGCTTAATTGGCTTGTTTAACAAAACTGATTTACAAGCACTGCATAAGTCATTTCCTACATTCAGTGCAGAAAGTGGGCCGTACATGAGAGGCTTGCATGTGTTGATGACCCTAGGGAACATTTGGTAATTCCCTCCGGTGCATTAATTATTTGGGAAGGACGAACTAATAAACTGTTTATAAGGCACCAGTGGTGTTGTTTTGGGTTAATGTTAAGGATTTAGTGTTTAAATGTTTAACATATAATTACTTGGGGATAGTAAAGATGCTCTGGCCATCCAGTGGGTCGATTCTTTCCAATTATCTTATTACTTAATGAGTTAGCATGGCCTTGTGCATGTTTTGCATGCACTGAGAAACAAAAACAAATAGATTATAGGACATTTAAATAAAAGCAAACTGAGGAATCAATCTTAAACAGCCAATAATCAATGCACACGTCTTTGGAATAATGATGATAAATGCTCAAGTTGTTTTGACCCAAATAGATACAGTTACAAAGTTACCATATTATTTTAAGTCACCAAAGAATTGTCGTCTGTGAAGAACACTGACCTTTTTGTAAATCAATGCAGAGACTATGAATCAACATTGAATATGTCTGTGAAAACACCAAAGTTCCATTGTACAATTGGGCAGCATTGATTGAGACTGCAGAAGGGTCAACTTTGTAATTTGTTACACTTCTAGACCTTGTCCCAGCGGTTGGGACCTGTTAGATAAAATTAATTTAAAGACAAAATAAACACACAAACAATTTGTCAATTTAAACAAACTTTCCATGGTGCAGTGGAATTAAAACAGATCTGGGCCCCGATACTGACCATTTTTCTGTCAGTCTGATCAATAGACACTGTGTAGACAGGATGCGGACCAGAGGAAAGGCCACTGATAACAGCACAACTGTGTCAAACTATAAAGACAAGCAAATAGAGTGACAGCATGGTTATTTTTCTAAAAGTTTATTCCTCAAACCATCACAGATACTGTATGTTTTACTATTTACATGATTTGCTATGCATAAACATCTTGAAATGAAATATTTTGCCTTCACATGACAGATCTGTATGATCTAGTTGTCTGTCAAGCAATCAGTGTTTCCAGTGATTTTGTGTCAGTTATTCTAGATAAGAATCTAGTTAAGATATATTATTCCCACTCATGACAGAGAAGGACAATCTAGTGTCACTCAAATGATCAGTGTGTGTGCGCAGTGAAGTGGATTTAAAGTTCATACATTTTTCTCCACTGACACCAACAGATAGATTCCTCAGACAGGTCGAGTCTGCCGAGGAATGATCAATACCATTGATTGGAGTTTTTGGTGCCTATAAATGAACAGGATGATAAGGAAGCGAAGCATGAGGGCGACTCATGTCGAGTTATTTTGGGTCCTCAAGTTTGTGTTAGTATGCAATAGAAATGGAAGCCAGCAATTTCGAGTAGCTTACATTTTAGACACAATACAGACAGTTAATTTGTCGAATTTTGCTCCACCAACAAAAATAGTTACAGTTTCAGCAGAATTAACTAAGAAACACACTGTAGTGGCGTTGCTGAATGAATCAGTGTTTAGAGTGAATTAGTTGAGTGAATAATTCAATGAGTCACTCAAATACAGACACTTGTTTAATTCCTAAATGAATCAGTGTTTGTAAACAAATCAGTTGTGTCAATTATTCAATGACTCACTCAAAGACGTTCATTTGTTTCCGTCCTAAATGAATCAGTGTTTTGAACGATTCAGTTGAATGGACGATTCAATGACTCACTCATAAAGATGGTAATTTGTTTCAGACCTGAATGAAGGTTCAAGGTTTTGAACAAATTGATTGAGAGAGTGGTTGCACGTATCACCTACCTAATATCCATTCATGGTTCATCTTTTTCTGCATTATGGGGTACCATGGTAGATTTATGCCTTTAAATCATGCATACAAAATGTGTACACACACACTATGGTCAATTTTAAAGCCATTTTACACCATGGGCAATATTATTTACAGCCTGCCAATGAAAGGACAGGATTTATAGTGTCTGCCTTCATAAATGTGTCCACCCTCTTATTGGTTGCTTTGTGTGCGTGTTTCAAGACTGATTTCTGTCTGATGAACATCCTTTCGAGAACAGCGTCCCTGTCACTGCTGTGTACAAGACCTCATCTGTTCTCACAATCTATCTGCTATCAGCCGTGTGTCAAAGTACCAGGCTGGACAAATCTTATGCCATTTTTACAGCTTGATATTATGGGCACTATTATGAGGAAAAACTACATTTCCAGGTTAGTGCTGTCAAATCTTTGAAAGGTATCAGTTTTATTTGAGGTATGAAGTAAAGTAGCAAGTTAGCTGGCCATCCATGAGCAGAATTCTATTTGGTTTTGTTATCTGTCTCTGTTTTCACAGACATATTCATGTTGATTCTTAGTCTCACATTGATTACAAAAAGGTCAATTTCTTTAGAGATGACAGTTCTTTCAATAGTATAGGATCCTTTAAAAAGTCTGTACTTATTACTTGTACACTGGCCGAAATTAAATCTACACACACCAATTTTTACTATTTGTCTGATGATTTTTTACCAAATATTTCAATAAAAAAATAAAGCTGAAAAAATATATTAAATAAAAATAAAATATTAAAATATAGTATACTTAAATCCACAATATAAGAATTAATTTTATTTATTATTTTATTTTTACTACTATTTTTCATGCCATCTTTTATTTAGGTATAATCTTCCGATAAACTCTAAAACTGCCTGCAAAAATAAATAAATAAAAATAAACTGTGGTTAGTCACTGTACATGACCTCCGCTTAACTGAGGTCCAGATTTTACAGTTTTGTAGAGGTTTAGCTACACAAGACTACAAACAAACAAGCTAATACTTGTCCACTGGATTGACGTGTGGTTTCATTTCACCAGCATGTTCTGATGTCTCAATGTGGCCTCACAGCAATGATCTCACCAGTCTGCTGAATTTGGACGCCTATATGAGATTCCTGTGAGTATTCATGACTGTTGTCACTGTTCCTCGCACACAGCTGGTCACTCCATCCTCTCGGTCAATGGCAATCATTGTGTGCATTGTGTGTGTCTTCCAGGCATGGCGGCCAAAGTCAGACAGTCTCATCTGGAGAGATGGTTTATTACAGAGGAAGATATACTCAAGGAAAGCTGCAAAGATCCCGGGCCTTCAGACGCACACATGAAGACTTCCATGAGAAGTTGCCCTTCGTCAGAGCCAGTTATCATTTGCATGGCTGAGACGCAGCAGGTGTCTGTTACCCAAGGCTGTGGTGATAAGCCCAAGTTACAAACACAGACTTAAAACTTTTACAGGAGAATCTCCGGAAAATTCTTCCGCCTCAGGCTATTCAAGCACGCCTGCTGAAGGCGAGGTTATATGTGTACACGGTCTGGTCACCGGCAGCAATGTGTGCAATTACAGCGCAAGGGCTGCTTCACTGACTCTTGTTTTGTGGTTTGGTTCTTCTGCATGATGTTTCTCTCTGGCGGTTTAAGAAAGCCTATTTCCTATCACCA